CATGGTGTGAACATGTGTACAGTACATACCATAAGGGAAGTAAACCATGGTGTGAACATGTGTACATACCATAAGGGAAGTAAACCATGGTGTGAACCTGTGTACATACCATAAGGGAAGTAAACCATGGTGTGAACATGTGTACATACCATGAGGGAAGTAAACCATGGTGTGAACATGTGTACAGTACATACCATAAGGGAAGTAAACCATGGTGTGAACATGTGTACAGTACATACCATAAAGAAGTAAACCATAGTGTGAACATGTGTACATACCATAAGGGAAGTACACCATAGTGTGAACTTGATGTGTATAAACCATAAGGGAAGCAAACCATGGTGTGAACACAAATGTGTAGATAGCTATAATACTATAATGGGAATAAACCATTGTGTGAACAAAATGCATCTACCAGGAGTAAACCCTGATGTGAACACAAATGTGTAGATAACTGTACTATAATGGGAATAAACCATTGTGTCAACAAAATGCATCTACCAGGAGTAAACCCTGATGTGAACACAAATGTGTAGATAACTGTACTATAATGGGAATAAACCATTGTGTGAACAAAATGCATCTAACAGGAGTAAACCCTGGTGTGAAAATGACGTGTACATACCATGAGGAGAGTAAACTCTAAGATTGATTGGTACACTTGAGATTCCTTTGTTTGAACCAGTGATGCGATCAGTCTCTGCTTCAATTTCTTTTCTAACTTCATCAAAATCAACAAACTTTTTTCCTTTACAATGCAGAAACTCAGCATACTCTTTAAAGAATAAGGTACTTCAATTACTATTTAGATTAGTTATAAAGAACAAATTGTTTGTGTAAAACTAAAAGTGTAAAAGCAGAATTACCAGAATATGAAAGCGAATTTCACTTTAAAATATATTGGATGTCACGGTGACTCAAATGTATTCAAATAATTATTCACAAACACTACATAGCCTGTGAAATACATTACGAAAATATATCATCTGAAAAAGAAATTTAAATAAAGTTTTGCAATCATTATTTCACCATTATTATAATGTAAAAGATTAGCATAGCGAAAAAGAAAATTAATGTTTTACAATTTACTATAAATCAATAGCATTGATTGTTTGAATCTGTATACAGTAAGTTGCTAAAATTGCTAATACTGAATTAAACATAATTAATAAAATAGATAATGATGCTCTTTGTGTAATATTACTACAGTATAATAACAATACATTACATCTAATTAAACAAATCTAGATTGTTTGATGCTTTCAGAAGTGTTTTACAAAACATAAACAAATACCACTGAGCTCCTACAAAGAGTATAACTATTTTCTCACTGTAATAAAATATTGTACAAATTTGATTAATACATATTAAATACTGTTGGTTTGATTTAATCAATAGATAGGTTCTGCTTATAAATTTGCATCCAATATGTTAAACACAAGCTATTTATATATTTTTGTAAAATCTCATTTAAAAGTACATAGTGGTGAGAAGCAATATGATGAACTTCCAACAGCGTTCACTTAAAATGGAAAAGCCACTTGAATGTCAATTACTGTACCTGGCATGCTTCCATTCTGTTGCCAGTGGTGATAAATCGCCAGCAATCTCATTTATACATAAATCATATATTATGTTTAGGAGGAAGATGTTAACATCATAATGTATTAAAGATGAGGAAAAATAAACATTAATAACTTGGAAAATCAAAATGAGGAAGAATGTAAAAAGAAGGCAAAGTGGATTAAGTGCAGAAACCAATTGGACAACAAAAATTAGATGAACAGGAAAAAAACAAAGAAGAAAAGTGATGTAAATAAGAGGAAATGAGAATGAAAGGAAAAGGAAAGAAAGTGAATGGAAGAAGAAAGGAAATGGAAAAGCAGAAAAGGGAAAGGAAAGGAAAAAGAGGAAAATAAGAGAAATGGCCGAAAAGAAAGAGGAAGTGTTTAAGGGATATAAATCGTACCTGATTTATTGTTAATAAGCTGTAAAATCAAAGGGCGCCTTGTCACAATTCCAGAGCCTCGTGGAAGAAAGTCCCTAAAGAAAAACGAGTAAAAATGACAGTAAAAATGGCTGAAACATGGTTAACAAATTAAAATATACAGTAATAATCCATGAATTAATCAATAATGTTATGCCATATTCTGTTATATGCAGAGAATGTAATACAATTCCTAGAGCATAGCACTTATAGAATATTCAAAGCCTACAGTATAGTAGCCATTTTATCAGCATTCCCAAATTTAGATGTCATGTACATACAATACAGCATTCAGTATCTATAAATAAAATTTACTTTTACTTTAGAATACTCATGCCAAAAAAGGAAGTTTTCAAACTCTCATACTGACAATTAATAGAGCAAAGTGTTTTTTCCTTCTTAGGAGGAAATAATTCCAATAGTCTGTAAAGTACCAAATATTATATTGATTACATCATTTCCTACAGTACTCCACAACTCATTAGTGTGGCAACAGTGCAATGGACCATTCAAATATTTATTACCCAATAAATCAATACAGTGAATAATTAATCTTACTTTTGCATGATTTAAAAAAACCGGATACTCTCACATAATTATAATTTTATGAGATAATTTTGTCAGTTAAATTACTGTAATTACAGACTGTTGTTAGTACATATTAAATTAAAAAGCATAACTACTTGCAATTCATCAATGGCTGGAATTATAGGTATCATTATTTATATTTATTTAAATTAATTTATTTAAATTTTTGAAATAAAAGACACTGTGTAATTAATTGGCACAAGATGCAGTCACACCAAATCCAAATTCTCAGATCGGAAAGCATACCGAACATCAGAAAATTGAAGCAGTGTGTAAGAATGTGGACAATGACGTTCAGCGCCCAGGAAACACAGTTGGAATTTTGGTTCGGATCCGAGGTGAATGTAGCTTTATTGTGATCTAATGTACAGACTAGCATATACATTATTTAATTAAATTTTATTAAATGAACATGAAATGGTGGCGGGGCATATACAGTAGTTGAATGTTATGGGAAGTTGAGGAGGCAATGATTGAGGATGTTATAGTTACCTTGTCATTAAATTTGTAAAGGACCTTTTTGTATAACATTTTGTATGAGTGTCTCTGCCGAATAGTCCTTGTGAGGAATTTTCCGTTTTGATAATGGAGCACAGTACTCTCTTGCACGTGAAAATGCAACATATATGGTTGGCCATCAGATAAATATTTTTATTGTGATTGAAGTAGGTGGATGCCAGCCAATAACTAACAAAATAAGCTGTTAATATTGTTCCAATGGATTTACGTAAACTTGAGGTGTTGAATGGTGGAGCTGACTTGACCCTAAACTTCATTTTGAAATACAGTAGAGGGAGGGGGCCTAGCATATACTGTATCATGCCTTGTCCCCAGGCAAATATGCCTTGTATTTTTACCTCATAGATTTCTAAAACATCCCGGATTCATTGCTGATGTATTGAGCCATAAGACTATTTTTATATTCAGTATTTAATGCAAATGGGTACTCTGTTACTTAGGACAGCTGGCAGCGCTTACCGTACAGCATGTATAGTAGCTCAGTACTGGAACTGAACATGCCTATCAGCTTATCAGCACCGAGGCGATCATACTGCACAATATTTTGCAGATCTGAGCACTACGGTAAACGAGGAGATGCTGTTTATATGTGATGCAAACATCTCGCAAAACAAGGTACTCATTTTGGGGGTGTTTGGCCATTTTTTTTTCATTGTCATCCAATATCCAGCCTAGAAGAGTAGCTTATTGTGTCTGTGACATACCAGCCTAGAAGAGTAGCTTATTGTGTCTGTGACATACTGTAGAGAAACCCCAGTGTAAGCAAAATGAGCACATTCCTGCCAGCGGTTTCAGAGGAGATAGGTGAAGTTTCACCGAGGCATTAATAGAACCAAGGCATTAACAGAATTAATATATAGATGCAAGTTTCAACAAAATACTGGTAAAACCATGTTTGTCACTGTAGTCTAGTTCCACAGATTTTTCAGAAGTAATCACATGTAGAGTACAGTTATGTAATGCAGAAATTACAATGTAAATTGTCAACCATGTTTTAAAAAAATTCAAAACAAATGTGTAGTACTACTAAAGTAGCAGTAGAGTATAATTTGACCACATAGTGTAAATGGGATGATCTAATATACTGTAATCAACCAGCTTTCCAGGTCAATTGCTTTTATCTGAACTACTGAGCAATTTAAGAAATCAATACCTAAATCAGTAGGCTTAAAACAGGACACCAATATCGCTTCACTACTCCATTAAATACTACTTATGGTAATATTTTCAGATATTTCCTTGAAAAATTTACCAAACACTGGCCCATGCCAAAATCAAGTAAAAGCTTACAAAATGGCAGTGATTTTTTTTTACAGTATAGAATGACAAGCATTTTCTGCAAACATTGTTAACTATTCACTTCTCTTTGGTAAAACAGTGTGCAGATGAAATAATTAAATTCTACAGTTAAACAGTGTTCCCCAGGATTTTAGTAAAGCATCATGGTTGGTGTCAACACCCAATGGTGTATCTAGAGGATGCGTGGGACGCACACCCCTCCCCAAAAAAATACATGCACCCCCCCCCCCAAAATCAAGTCATGTCAAGTAATTAAAATCACCTCAAATCCCCTTATTTTGCAAGTTAGCTCTCCTCACCTAATCATTGAGTAACCCCTGACCTGAGAACTTTTTTTTTAAAGACCTCAACTCAAGATGCCCGGATATGGCACCGTAACTTTAAAAATGTTTTATAGAAATTCAATCAATTTTTAATAAGTGAAATGTACATTATTTCTTTGTTGAGAGATTTAGCATGAGATATTTTGATGCACAAACTAGCTATCACAATTAATATCTGTTCATCAAGAACCACCTTATACAGTAGCGCCACTGTCACATAAAACCGATCCAGATACTTATCTGTACTGCTGTATACTACATT